AATAGTATACACTCGAAAAGGTTTCACGCAAGTGTCAAACGGCTGGCGGTGTTGTTTCTTATATGCAACCATTCAGTACACTAGTAAATTTGAGTATTTTTCAGAATTGGTAGGAAATTATTCCCATCAAAATGCGTTTCATCTGCTTCATTTTCTTCCTCATCCAACTGAGCTACACTCAAACCATCGTAAGTTCATTTAAAGTTAAAAATATAAGATAGCACTGCAAAATTTCTGAGGTTTCAAACCTTCAGCACAGTTTGAAATTGACGACTTCATAAAATTTGAGGAGCCGCAAACAGAACCGTTGGATTTGTCAATGTCAAGACCATATATGGGAATTCATAAATTTGTGGAGCTACAAACAGAACCGTTAGATTTGTCAATGCCAAGAATGATTGAGAAACGGATTAAACCATCAGATCTATCAGCGCCAGAGGTAAGTGGGAGGCAAGTAGAACTCAGCGAAATTGATCAGAATGACGCAAGATCGTTGAACTTACCAGTTCAAGAAGTGAGTATGGCAAAAACAAGTATAGCAATTGACCCGAAAATATTATGGTACGGACCGTTTCAAAAGGGAATCTCCGGACTGGAAGAACATATGAATGACACAGCTGATAAGCCGTACAAATGCGAAACATCCGGAAAGGGTTTCAAAACGTCATCGAGTTTGTATGGCCGTAAGAAGATTCATGCCGGTGTGAAGCCGTACAAATGCAAAACGTGCGGAAAGGGTTCCGCTAACCCATCGGATATGAAGAAACATGCGAGAATTCACACAGGTGATAAACCGCACAAATGCGATGCATGCGGGAAGAATTTTACTCAGTCATCGCAACTGAATCAACATGCGAGAATTCACACAGGTGATAGACCGCACAAATGCGAAACATGCGGGAAGAATTATATTCAGTCATCGCATCTGAGACGACATATGAAGACTCACACAGGTTCTTAAATTTAAGCTATTTTGGTCAATAGATGATGTCTTTGCCAATTGATCATTGTTTTATATATCTGATATATTTATTACTGTCAAAAATCAGACCAGATTGCACATTTATTCTTCACTTATCATTGCTTTCACGAAAACGAAGCAAAAAAAGTATTTCAGAAAATGAAGAATATATGTAGTATTTATTTCTTCGATATGCAAAATTTATTTTACAACAAGATTTTATCATGAAATGAATTTCATCACTTCCAACTTTTTTGGCTTCAATTTTCAGCTTTTGTCATTGTCTGCTAGTTTTTTTGGAAATTATTTTTCTTTTTTCTTAAAATTAAAAATTTATGCAAAATTGGACACAAAATCAAAATTTGATTTCTTTGTTATCAAAAATATTTTCAAAATTCAAAATGAATCAAAATACATAACTTTTATTATTAAAAGCTTGAATTTGAACAAAATTTCAAAGTATTATTTTGAATGAAATATTTAAAGGTGGTAGCAAGAATAACATGGAGCAGAAGTGTTTTTTTTTCTTTTCTACACTTTTCGTTTCTTTTTACTTTTACAATTTGTCAACTTCAAACGTTTGTAAAATTAAATTTTGCAAATCGTGGATATTTTTTACGTGCCTTATTAGATCATTTAATAAGAAGATGAACAAAAATTCATTAATTTTATTGGATCCATTGGTTACTAATGAGGTGGATACGATTTGGTACGTTTAATCAATTATTTTACTTATTTGTGTAGTTTAATTTTATTGACAAATTTATGGAATAACAGTATAGCATGAAATATTTGAATGATATTGTTATGTTCAAACTCGTTAGATTTCAAAGTTTTGTTTTTGTTTTTCTCCGAGTAGAATAATGGAAATTTACAAATACTCATTCTTATGTCAATGGATAATAAATAGCAACAAGGCAATTGCAAGGAAAAAAAGGATGGCAATTGTATTTGCTAAATCTTTGATAATACTTTAATGATAATGAAAACGATAATTTCTGTTGATTCAAAATGATAATTTGCCACTTCTTTTTTGTTTATCATTCATTGAATATAATATTTTGGTTCATTTCTTATTTCAAAGAATAAATATATACCATTAAGAAGGTGTTAAGTTACCGCCAATTTCAAAAATCCATTGTAATCGTACAACAGTCAAATGTACGAATGAAAGATTTTTTCCCCTAATTAAACGAATTAATGGCTAATAATGATTGAAGGACATAAATACAGATGAAAGCAAAAAAAAGAAGAAATTCGGTAAAATTTCCTACCAATAGCGATTAGTACCTCATTAAGTGATTTTTAATATTTTGGATAGAAATTTTTGGAAAATTGAAAAGGAAATGAATTATTGTCAGATGCAAATATAGGTAGTTAAAGAAATCAAGAATGGTAAGCGGCAAGGAGTTGTTTGTAATCTATGATATCATTTTGATATTTGACGACATATTCTCAATTAGTTACTAAAAGGACACTATTTACGACATTTTCACTTAATGTTAAATATGTAATTTCATCATCAATGTACTACCAGCATTTAGCAATAACCTTATCATAATGAAAGATTTTTGCAAACTGTGAAGAAAACGAGCCTTAATTCTTTCTTATTTTTCATTTTTAAAATTGCATTATAAGCAATAAATGAAAGTAAATAATACAATAAATTATTCATTGAAAATTCAACAAAAAAGGTCTCCGAGAAAATCAATGAAAATTAAAAAATTAGGAAAAAGGAAAAATGAAAAATTTAAAAATATAAACTTGGAAAACTTCAAAAAATTTGCAAATTTAATACTAAAAAAATTTAAGTGATATTTCATATTAGTAAAATGAATAATTTACTTACACTACTTGATCTCATATTTTAACAATAGAGCAGAAACAAATAACAATAGAGCAGTATATACGCAATCCCCTACCAATAGCATACAGAAGCGGCTGGGTGCTATCTATCAAATTGTCTTCGTGAAATTTCGTTTAGTAAGTTCTTTTTCACTTATTTCGACGGAGAATGTCAGTTGCTTTTTAAAGTTCTGCGTCATGCGGATTTAGAACTCCAACATGAGCACTTTCTTTATTAAACAAAATTATCTTTTTATCAAATTTGTAATTGTGCAAGTTTGCGGAAATTTGCTTTGGAATGCTTGAGATCAATCTCCAACATACATAATTTGTTGTTTTTGATGTTTGAACATGAGATGCTCGTATTATACAATGAATGCGTACCGATTTTTTTCAATGATAATATATTCAGAATAGTATACACTCGAAAAAGTTTCACGCAAGTGTCAAACGGCTGGCGGTGTTGTTTCTTATATGCAACCATTCAG